TTGCTGCCGTATTTCTGATATAGTTTTTTGCAAATTTTTCAGTTTTTAATAACAATTAATTTATTTTACTATTTTTTCTGTACTTCTATAACAGACAACGCGCCAGACAACACTTCCAGAGGAATGACATCAATTTTAAATCACCTTGGATTTAACTACCACACATATCTAAGTATATAATTTTACGCATATTGCAGAAAAAAAGATTAACAGAAATTTAGGAAAGGTGAAAACTCAATTCGCATTTTGATCGTCCGGACATCCCACACGTAATAAGGAAAAAAACAAACTTAGGATTAACGTCGACTTTGGTATTCTGCTACGGTTTCTTGTACGTTATTAAATTGTCAACTTTTGGCTGTAATCCCTTGACGCAAAACTTTTTAATCTTGGAAGCCGTGTTTTCATGAAGTCGTTCAATTTCTTAGTTTTTAATAACAATTAATTTATTTTACTATTTTTCTGTACTCCTATAACAGCGCCAGACAACACCTCCAGATAAATGACGCCAATTTTGAATCACCCTGTATGGTATTTGAATGATGAATTGTAATTGTTCTTATTTTCTGATAATAACAAACTTATAGTATTTGCCGTATATTTAAAAACAGGCAATATTACAAAACTAATCAAATGGGTACAAATGGTACGTACTTGATGCAGTAACCTGCCAGGAAAATCCTCTTCCTCCGGAGATGAATCCAACATTTGAATGATTAGTAGTTTTAAATTGTATCTCCTGATGAGTTAACAGAGTTAAGTCCTGGTAAATTAAATCAATACAATAAACACTTTAGTGTTGTTGATAAACCGTTCTGACAAATTGACGACACAGAACACATCCCCAGTTAGAATTGAAGCTGCAATGACTTATGTCGAATATACGTTTAACGCCCCTGACGGCGACGCGCATGAAACTCGATTAGGATGTGAGTCATTTATCTGATATTTTATTCCTGATTATTGCATTCCGGAAATTTTATCAGGCCGAAAGCTGCAAGATTACTTACAGTTATCAACCTAGAAAATATTTCTGTCAATAAAAGCGCACTTATGATGCAATATTTTGTTAAATACGTTTTCACGAAATCCGGTGCCGTTATTGCGGTAAAAACATCAGATAAATGATTGACATTTTAATCGAGTTTCACGTGCGTCACCATCAGGGGCGCTAAACGTATATTCAAGATTTATATTTACAATTTCAATTCTAGGGGGTGATGTTCTGTGTCACTGACAACACCCTACACAACCACTACACAACAAAGAAAATGTCTAAGGATTCGCCTGTGATTAAACTAAGATTTATTACTACTTCCAGAGACAAGTACTTGTCTGCTACTTCCAGAAATTTGATTATTTTTTGTCATATTGTAGCCGTTGTAGGAAGCCTAGTTAAAAAGACAGTCAGAAGCGAAACCTAACGACAGGTTGTTTATTAACCCATAGAGTAAAAGCATGATACAATGAATACAAGGTAGGATCTTGCGTCGATTTGCGTGACGTCAGTCATCATCACTTTTTTCCTGTCTGCTAAATGTGATTAAATATAGCTTATTTAGTCTTTATCACATTTAATTATTTTTTTATAAATCTTCCTTATGAAGTGCAAGGTGAAGGTGCAAGTGAAGGTGCAAGATGCATTGCAGCAGATTTTAGACTTGAAAATTAAAAGTAACGAAAATGTGTTTATTTTGCAGACTAGCACAGTTGCCAGTTGTGCAATAAAGTATAGCGTTAGCTGAAAATGTATCCTTGCAGAAATAATACATTACGATTCACGAGACGAAAGTCCAAACAATGACCCAATGTTACTTTCCTATTATTTACGACGGAATATGCGGTTTGTGGTGCCGCAGATGATATGTAAATTTTAATGCAAATAAAATGACTACACACCGCATTTTTTGTATTTCTGAACCGACACTTAAAAGTAGCAAACAATCTAGAGTACACTTTCCAACTACCATTCGCAAAATGCTCAGTTTTGTCTACAAAATTCCCAAACATGCCCAAACGTATTGACCCCATGATACAATGAATTAATTGTATGATACAATCAATTCATTGCATGAACAGTGAATTCATTCATTGTGATATAATTAATTCCTTATTTCGTTTGGCTCAACCCGATTTCTCAAATGACACTCTGGCAACACAGCACGCTAAAACGCTGAAAATCAGAGATTTTGTAAAGAATTATTTAGGGTATTTTTCTTCCCAATAAGCCTAAA